GATTAGTAAACAGGTTAAAGGTTTATACCCAGTGATAGTTGACTAATAATGGTATTTATAATAGAGTTAAAGGTTGACTTAGCCTGGATGTTGTGGTTTTTCTTCTGAACTTGTGAGATTTGGAAGGTTACATAATGACCTATCCAGAATTGAGGTTAAATAAGTGTCCATTACTAGTGATGGCAGGGTCCATGGTGTAATTCCACCGGACGGTTGCATGGCAATATAGATAAATATTCCACACTCTCTGTGCTAGTAGGTCAGTACTGGTCCTTTAAGGAAAGAAAATGTCCTTAAACTTGGATCAAGTAGTATAATTTATAGTCTCAAAAATCATTTTCTGAATTGTTATTCTAATTTTTCTAACATCTGCATAGTTTGAAAAGGACAGCTTCTGTCTTATCTATTTGTAATGGAGGGACACCTGTCTCAACCTCCAGGTCTCCAGAGTGAACCTGACTATAGACTTTTCATACAGTAGATTGTTACTTGCGCTTGAATAAATTTGTGCACTAAATTTTATAGTGGCTGATATGTGCGACATGAAAACAGACAAAGTACAAAAAGTAAAAATACAATCTACCACAAAGTGGTTTGTTTGTTGTTAATTTCATGTTTTCGCCTGGTGCACCCTGATGCAAAATACAAATCAGCCTCCATAAAATTTATTATCAAAGAAAAGAGGTTAGTTTTTTATCTGTATAAAAAGGTAGATATTGTACGTGTATTAGTAAAGTTATGATCACTTTCAAATTTACCTGTTATGAAAAATAGCACAATCAATTACAGCCCTTTTTTAGTAAATATAATTATACAATATATAAATTATTATTTTGATTAAGACTATGAGTATGTAAGTTTCTTTTTCTTATTTGTTTAATTAAGAATTAATCTACCTGTTAATTAAAAAATCTTAAAGTATCTGTCACAGTTTAGAACTGTTCACTATTTAGGGGAGAAAATGTGTATGTAGCCAGATAACACAATCGCTACAGCCGTGGTACATTATTATGTGGGTCAAAGGTTCCAGTTCTGTCAAGCTGAAAGTTTTTCTCATCCTGTAACTGCATATAACCCTGAGTTTAAGACACTATGCTCTGTAAACACCAGAAATTCAAGGACACAAATCAATATAGTGGGGAAATATGTTGTGGTTTACAACTATTCATTATTAACGAGAAAATGTGTAGCCGGCCGGATACCTCAGTTGGTCTTCTGACAGTCATGAGCTCGAGTCATTGTCAGGCAGTTTCAGTCAGGGTTTAGAAGTGGTTTTTCAACTAATACATATTTGATTCATTTAACAGATTGTATTAAATTTGAAATGGACAAGGCAGTAGTGTACGCATGATACTTTTAGATCTACAGAAAGCATTTGATACAGTTGATCACACTATACTGCACATGAAGAACTTCTTCTTCATGAAACTTCAAGCATCTGCCATAGGTAATGACATTCTTACATGGTTCAATTCTTATCTCTGATGAACAGCAGCTGGTGGATGTGGCTGGTTCTCATTCTACTACTGCTCCGAGTACCTATGGTGTCCCCCTAAGGTTCATTTTTGGTCCTCCTTTATGTCTTACATATGTCAATGACATGTCTGCAACCCTAAGCAATAAGCTTTTATGATATGCTGATGACTCAGGTATCCTTGTTTCTGGTAAAATAAATCTGAAGAAATTCTCTCTCATGGCATGAGTCTTATTAGTGATTGGTTAATTGACTATAAATTGTATTTGCACCTTGGCAAGACAGAGTATATTCTTTCAACTGGGCCTAAGCCTCAATGTCACATGTTATGGTACTGCTATAAAGTATACATCTTTTGTTAAGTTTTTATGTGCAAAACTTGATCAAATTCTTTTGGCGTCGCCTTTGATGCTTTGCATCAATGCTTTACTTGTTATACTCTGATGTGCACTGTCCACAATCAATTTTAATTTATCACATATTGTTGAAAATAATTTACTTCAAACTTATTCTTCGAATGAGAAAATTGAAGATTGGACTCAATCCAAAGCAAATATATTTCTTGACAATAATTAACATTAATAAAGTGAATGATATGTTGAGAGAAATCGAAAGCTGCGAGAGAATTATTAAAGATTTTATACACACTATTTTTCGAAACATTGAAAATACACTCCTTGTGTATAAGAAAACAGTTGGTATACAAAGAAAGAAAACACATATTTCAGATGGTTGTAGACAGCCTTGGTTTGATAATGATTGCAGAAAAGCCAGAACTGTAAGCGAAAATACCAATGGACAGAAAACGAACGTAACATGTCTGATTTATAAATTCTAGTAAACATTATAAGTAAATTATGAGAAAAAGTATTGTCGAATTTAAAAGGGAGCAGGGAAAGAAAATAAGAAACACGAAACATTCATCGCCTAAAGAATATTGGAATTATATCAATTATATCAATAGTATAAGTAAGAAAAATCAAATGACTGATATTGATATTTCAGCATTTTATGATTTATACAGATGCTGTAGATGCAATTGACAACCCAGTAACAGATTTTCCAAATATCAATTTTAAAAATGGGCTTAATGATAGCATAACTATCTCTGAGATACAAAGAGCAATTGACAAACTTAAGAATGGTAAGGCGACTGGTCTGGATCAAGTTTCTAAGGGAAGCAGTACTTTACTTATACCACCATATCACAAATTGTTTAACTGTATTCTAAAACTGTTTGTTTGCCAGATTCTTGGTTGACAGGATGTATTGTCCCAATCTATAAAAATAAAGGTAATATTGAAATGCATGAAAACTATAGACCTATTACATTGCTTAGTTGTATAGGGAAATTATTTACAAGTATACTAAATAAAAGAGACCGCCTCAAAGGTCGAGGGGTTAGAGTCGATGACTTCTAATAAAGTTACCTCTCTGGCGTGGGTTCGATCCCCGGGACATGCTTTGGTAGTTTAAGTAGTTTAGCACGGAAAAAGGTAGTCAAGTACTGGTGTAACTCTCCAGGAACAATGGTTAGGAAACTACCCGCCTATATGACTGAAATACTGTTGGGAAAAGGTGTAAAATGAAACAAACAAACAAACAAACAAACTAAATGAAAGCTTGACAAACTATTTAGAAAGTTATAATTTATTAAATTCAAACCAAGCTGGATTTAGGAAGCATCATTCAACTGTTGATAACATTTTATGCTTCACATGTTAACAGATTACCTTAAACATAAGAAAACAAAGTTTTTTGTGCTTTTATTGATTTTCAAAAGCCTTTGACTCTGTATGGAGAGCAGGCGTTTGGGGTAAACTTATCAAATATAATATTTCTTGAAAGTTCTTAAATGTAGTAAAGAATATTCACAGTGAAATCAAGCCATGTGTATCTGTAAATGGCAAATTAAAAAAAATGTTATAGGGGCTTAAGAGAAGGAGAAAATTTGTCACCGGTATTTTTTTCTCTGTACCTGAATAACTTGAAAATTACATGTTATTTAATAACGATGTTTCAATTATACTAGAAGAAATATTTTTAAAATTAGTTGTTTTGTTGTATGCTGATGGTACTATTCTTTTTGCTAAAACTGAACAAGACATTTTAATGTTGAACACCTTTTCAAATTATTGTCAAACCTGGAAATTTAATGTAAACTTTGATAAAACAAAAGTAATGGTATTTAGTGATAAAAGAAATAGACACAGGAATATTACGGTAGATAATTACGTTTTAGAGATCGTAGACACGTTTAAATACATTGGTGTAGTTTTAATCTAAGAACAGACAAATTGCGGTGGCAAAGAAACATATTGTTCAGCAAGCAAGACGATCAATGTTTGGTTTATATAAGAAAATAAGAAATCTAGATTTTGTTTATGTTATTCGATCACACAATTGTATCAATTTTAACTTATGGATGTGAAGTTTTGGGTTATGGTAACTTGACACTCATGGAAAAAGTGCATACAAATTTCATTAAATATGCATTACATTTTATGAAAAGTACACCGCATGTTATGGTTTATGGCGAATTTGGGTGATTCCCATTATCAATTACTATAAAGAAAAGAACTGCTGGTTATTGGTATGATTAAGTAATTCAATAAAAAATTATCGTCAAATATATATAAGCTTGTATATTAAGATTTTGTAAGAAATTGTAAAGGCAAATGGTTATCAAATGTTAAGAGTATTTTTGACGAAACAGGTATAAGTAATATTTGGTTTAATCAGAAGTTTACTGGTTCTAAATGCTTATTGTTAAAAACCCTTGATATATCAATGTGTAACCAATATGTACAAAATGGCGTAGTGATGTCGATTCAATTCCAAAATGCTTAAATTATAGAATGTACAAAACTGATCATTGCTTTAAACCGTACCTGTTTACTGTCAGACAAATATTTAAAAACATTTGTTAATTTTCGATTGTGTAACAATCTCCTCCCTATAGAAAGAGGAAGGTGGTTAGGTATTGTTCGAAATGAAAGAAAATGTAGTCTTTGTAACTCAAATGATACAGGTGATAAATTCCAATATATTTTTCATGTAGTTATTTTGAAAATAAACAAAAACGACTCTTACCACAAATAATCAACAAAACAAAAATATGTTTACGTTTAGGAATCTAATAAATGATACAGATCCACAAAAATTAACCAACTTAGTTAAATATGTTTATGTTATACTCGAACACCGAAAGATCCCACCTGGCTAGTCACATTGTTTTTTTTAATTTATAATATATAAATATTTTATGTTTTGCAAAATTTTGTATGTATACGATGTCATAATTAGTTACATTGTATGTTATGAAATATTGTAGTTATAAATATTTTTTAATCCTACAATAGTTTATTTAATTTGTATACACAACCTGATTACACATTTAGTAAATTTGTTGTATATTACTGTACACTTCTTATGATATGTAAATATGCTGAGTGTATCAGTAAATCTTGAAACAAAGAAATTAAACCTGCAATTTTTTATTATAATCTCAGAATTTTACACAATTCTAAAGACTTTTTTCCACTTATGGTTTGTCGTTACAATCATCAAATTAATGCTGTCTGGAAAACGAAAAGTACAACAGCGAATTACAGTGCATTTATTAACGCTCCCGCGAAGCCAGTGTGTTTTAGAACACCAATCCCATCGTGAGAATTTGCACCATCAATAGTTCCTCTTCCCTCTACCCACACGTCATCACCAGTGTTAAGTTTAGCCACCGTCGTAACACCTCCCATATCCCAACCTGTGTTAAAACCAGCCCATGCGTATTCGATAGTTTCGCCATTTTTCTTCAGATGAATCACTCCCCATTTACCTGCATTCCCGATCGTGATTGAAAACAGGTATATCCCATCACACGGAGCCGTAAACACGCCATGGAATGGATGGAACGCTTTACCATTGTTAAGTTCAACACTGTCATAAACAATCTTTTGTCCAAGAGTAACAGTGCCAAGGCTCTTTGTCAGTTGGGCTCGAAATGCTACATTCTTGCATTTTTCATTAGCGCTTCTATGTTCTGTTAAAGAAAGTATCAGGTTTATATGTTTATTCCAGTATTTACATTGTGAAAAGTTAAGAGTTAGATTAACAAAACGAACACCGTTTCAATTTACGTATCTTATAATTGTACAGCTTTCTTTTCAATAGTAAGTGAATACGATAATTGATGATAATTGATGATTTAGTTATTACTAAAATCTTTTTTGAGCTATTGCATCTTTTAAATTATTTATATGATGACCTTTATACTTTTCCTACGTTTTCAAAAAACTATAATGTTATTTTTGCAACGATAAAAAACTTACCCTTTAGGTTAGTCTTAAGGTTTTTAACTTCTTCCTCAAGTTCGATCAACTTTTTCAGGATGTTGTAATCTTCTCCACATTTGCTGTGAATTGGTTCTTCAAGTGAAGAAACGTGAATTAAACATCCAAATATGACAAGTGTCCCCCAGTGAAACATTTTGAACTGTACGAAATGTAATATTATGTATCAATTGAAGTTACTTGTTCCAACAAAACAGTGCTGCGGGTATTTCACAAGATATTTTATCTCTCTAAACTTTATTCTGTAGAAATTCTTTTTATCTTTTTATATTGAATTATATATATTTATGGTATATAGTATGTTGTATTCAGCCCGTTGAAGTATGCCGTTGTAAATTGTGGCAATACATACGCGGAAAATCATAAATCTTAAGGCGTCGTGTATAAATGGTGTTCCATTAGGGCCATTGCTTATAAATAATGTAAACCTCGAACGTGAAAACACAAAAATACGAGGACGAAAACTTCCGTTTTGTGTTCATATTCGTACTCTGGAGTTTTTGCCCTCATACTTTCGTGTTTTCGCTCTCGTGTTTTCGTGATTTCGTGTTTTTGTGTTTCATGTTGACTTTTTTACTAACGGATCACCGTAGCTTTCGAATGTAAGGTGGAAATATTGCATTGTTTATATTAAGAATACACATGTAAGTTTTTAATTCAAATAACACTGTATTTTTGCTGTTTTATATTATTATTAATTCCTTAATATTCACATATCTTACTGTACATGAAATGAAAAAATCTGAGTTTTGATATAAGTTCATAATTTAGAATGGAATAAACTATGAGGGTATTATATATTATAGAGTACAGTATCGGATTATATTGGACGAGTACTCATCTGTACCTTCATTGGGTGAAGCGCATCCGTGTATGAGTCCAATAGAATCAGTATTATTCTCAACTATTTAAATGACTTCATACCACCAATTTTTGGGATTTCGACAGAACTTTGTTTCTTCAATTACAATAAGGATTTGATATGGACTTTTAACTCTCAGAAATAAAAACAAGGCTATGTGGTGATAAGTATGGATTTGATATGCACTTTTTGGACTCTGGAAATGAAAACTAGGCTATGTTGGGAATTGGTATGGATTTGATATGAAACTTTTGGACTCTGGAAATGTAAGTCCATATGGGGTGTGATGTGAATTTTAGATAGGCTTTTTGGACTCTGGAAATGAAAACGAGGCTTAAAACGAATGCTGAAAGTGCATTGGTTATATTTTATGAGATGTGAAATAAAGTAGAATATAGCTGCATTGAAATGAACCATCATTTTGCCTTTATATACTATTATTTGAATATCGAATTTAATTATAAATGTTAATCAGTTATTGATTATACTAATATAATGTAAAGAGTATGCATAAAACACATGAAATATGTTGCAGAACAGAACAACACCCCCCCCCCATAATATCAAGGGGGAGGGGGCTATAAGTTGTTTTCATCGGTTATGGAGTTTATCGCTCTTAAACTACACGGACAAAAGGAAATTTTTGAGAAACAAAATTAAAAGCGTTTTCTTAGTTTCTGAGGCTTTATTGGTCTATAAAAGTCTTATGTTATTTCTAAATGAAAGTCGTTTCGACAAAATCATATTCAACGACCAGAAATTTTATGTGACAACTTCATGATAAGCAAATAAACATAAAATCTTATCACTAAGTAGACTACTTCAGCCGAAATTTTATTTCGTTAAGAGGCTATCACGTTTGATGTATGGTGGCTGATTTTTGCCATGTCGTATTTTCCCTCCGCAAGGCGCCATACTAGGGAGGCAGTACACAGTTTCGGTCGTTTAGTTTCGAATTGGCCAGGGTCAAATAAACAAATAAGATACCATTTTGAAATTGAAGTGGATATGTTTGAGCTTCTAAATATTTAAAGTTGCTGTATTTTCAGTGGCTAGTATTGTGTCTCAGTTATTAAGTAAACTTGATATTAGTGGTGTTTGACCAATATATTTTTAGGGAGAACTTGACATTTCCGAATGGATAATCCATAGAGCTAGCTAGCTCGCAAATCAGCTCTTCAATTAAAATGGTATGCAGAAGACTTAAAATCGTGAAAAAACGAGAGGTGTGCCTCCACGTTTGGATTTTATTTTCAAATTGTGCATTGTTTAAGCAGGAAGAAACAATGTAGCTTGTGATTTAATTTTTTAATGCTGATATATCATTCATAGTTTTCAAATAGGTGTAATTTGTTATTTTTGTCATTAATAGTCGCGACAAAACAATGAAAAACACAAGGCTATGTGCAAAGCTTCCAAATGAAAACTCGTGATAACTTTCACTTATGTTAAACATGTTTTAGTTGTCTTCCTATTGTTACAAATATTCATTAAGTGAAAAATGATATAGATTGTACACTTCTGTTTTCATTCTATCTTTTATATGAAAGAAGCACAGTATCGGTATCAAATAACGGCTCTATAGACCGGTATATAGAATAACTGTACTTATATTTCTTCCCCGTTATGATCTCTCTTTTTTCAAAGAAAATTGATAAATAGAACTGATTATTTAAAAGATATATTAAGAAATATGAATCAATCAATCAATCAATCAATCAATCAATCAATCAATCAATCAATCAATCAATCAATCAATAAATAAATAAAGTATTAGATAAGTAAATAAATTATTATATGTATATAGATAGATAAATAAATAAATAAATACATACATAAATAAATAAATAAATTATACAAATAAATCAATAAATAGATAAAGTATTAGATAAATAAATAAATAAATAAAAAAAAAATAAATAATTAAATAAAATAATAGATAAACAAATAAATAAATAAACAATATAAAAAACAAACAAAAATAAGTTAATAATTTATGTTTTACATCATCGTCGGATACCCACGATTGATAAACATGTCACATAACATGCAATGATAATGGTTCGGCCGTGGGTATCCGACGATGGTTTTACATATGAGCAAAGATGTAAATTAAAGGAAAAAGAGGGTTAAGATTAAGAAATCCTTCGTCAAGTATCAAACAAGACTCCTAGATTATTACAGCTTGGACATATACCCACCTACACCCACTTCCGTTTTATAACGTCAATGACAACGTCCCGTACGTCTCGGTCATAGGCCGTTACACACTTGCTAACAATCATTTGTTTACTCATTAATAATTGCAATTAACCCTAATGTAAAAACTACAAAACAAGTTGTAAGCACGTCAAAGGACCCATTAGTTTAGGTATATCATTTACAAGCATCCGTGTTTGACCTTTTTAAAATCATGTTGTACATCCAATGTTCTTACAAAAATAGACGTTAGCTTTTGCCGTAGTCAATGTTATGATATATATATCTTGTCTTCCTTATTAGTTTATTTTTTTTGTAGATGAACTTGAAATAATAATGCTTAGGTTTAACTAGGATTATGAATTGAATTAACGAGCTTACAAATGTACGATTGGAGTTTATCTCCGTTATCTTATTTTAATAAAAAGTGAAATGGAGAATTTGCATATTTAATTTTAATTGGGGTTTCGGACAGAGAGTACTTGAAATCTATCGTCAAGTGTCATTAGTTTTAGATGGTAATTTATTCGGATACACTGTTACGAAATATTTTACAATCGGATGTATGTTTGCTTGTGATTTAAGATATTGCCAATTAATTTTGTTATCAGTGAGTGTTAACCACGTATACCCCCGTCGGTGCTAGTGGGTGACATCCCCAAACTGCTTAAAGTGTCTTATCTATTTATCACTTAATACAAAACCGTCCCGAATAATAATGAGCCATTCAGACAGCGCTGGCATCCATCGCGGAGTGACTACACTTAAATTTACAAAAACGGATCTGTCTAACAAAACGGATTCCGCCGTACGGTTTAACGCCGCTGGTGGGGGTGCGAATTCAGGTTTAAGTTTCAGTAATCCAAATTTTGGGGACGGAAGTAATTCTACTCCAGCAGCCATGGCAGAAAATTATAGAGAATTCGACAAGTCGGACACATCTCCGATTATTCCGGAAATACGGATAAGTACGTATTCCTTTCGGGTAAGGGAAATTATCCTAGGCGTAGTCTCAGTTGTTGCTATTATCGGCTGTTTAGTGCTCATTGCTCTGGTAGCAACAAACAGTAATTCCGACGACACTACGTCGTCGGTAACGAGTGCTCAGAAGGCAATCCGGACTTTATGCACGGAAGCCTCGTGCCTGAAAGCTGCGTCGTACGCTGTTTCGAACATGAATGCGTCAGTGAATCCCTGTGATAATTTTCATCAGTATGCATGCGGAAACTACCCAGTACTTAATCCTTTAAATCCAGACGTAAGTCAGAGGACCATTTTCTGGAATCTATACTACGACAACGAAGATAAACTGCGGACCATTCTCGAGGCCCCGCCCACAAGAACATCGTCTTGGTCGTCTGAGAAGAAAATAAAAGATTTCTTCATGTCGTGCATTGACGATTACGGAAAAATGAAAACTGGCGGGAAAACTTTCATTGACAAGATCATAACGCCTCTAGGGGGATGGGATGTATTGAACAATTTTAACGCAGCATCGTTTAATTTGCAGAACAATTTGCAGAAAACAAGCGTCGATTTCTGGACCGCAGCTTTGTTTACGTTCCGTGTAGCAACGGATAGATATGACCGAAGCAACAGAGTTATCGAGGTGAGTATATGAAAAATATTTTTTTATAATACATGCTGTCATAATGATAAAAGATTTAAAAATTATTTGAATGAAAATGAGATTGCAAAACAACGCCCCACGCCCCTCACCCTCGTCTCCCTCTTAAAATGTTCTAATTTAAACGCTATACAACATGATGAATAAGTGTTAACCACAACGAAAGTCAAATCTGCATGTTTTGACTCGAAATCATATTTCCTAAACACTATTTTATTAAAATATACAAAACTAGGGGGCGTGAGAGAGATTTTTTTTTGTTACACCATATCAACAGACTCAATGAAACCAGTCTGCGATTTTAACTATATGTCGTTTCCATCACTCTTCATGGAGTTCCTCTTTTCAAACTGATCAAAGCGTAATTGGTGAATTTGAATGTTTAGGTGTGTTGTTTTCAGATCTTTTTTTTTTCAATAAGAAATGCTGCATGTCACGGTTTTATCACATACATGTAACTTACCTAAAAATAATGCATATTTTAAAAAAAATATCAATGAAGTTATTACAATTTAACCTTATGGTTTTACTTTATCTTAGAAATTGAACGAACATTTTTCAACTTCATTAATTTTTATTTTTTTTATACATCTGAGCTGCAATTACACCATAATTTTGATATGGGCATATTTTGAATTCATCACTAAGTCTTAATATTAAACAATGCGTTACTAGAGTTTCCATATTCTTAACATTTTATGTATGCATAAGTAGGAATGCTTAACGTATGTTACTCAGTCCAATATAATGTAATGTGTACGTTACCTAGTACTGGATAGCTAATGAATCAACTTCAAAAACAATTTACTTTTTATGACATACCATCATGTACTTTATGATACCTTTTATCTACGCCATTAAAATGCTTTACCGTACCTTTTATCTTCACCATCAAGATACTTTACCGTACTATTTCTTTGTTATTATTTCAGGTCGATATGTCAGGTATGGGGATGTCGTGGGCTTATTTTATTAGAGATACAACCCAACAGGTACGTTACGTTCTTAAACGTTACGTTTTAATTGCAGGAACGCTGTAACGTTTTACCTCAGAGGTTCTTCACGTTTTAATACTCCATGTACGTTACGTATTGACTACAGTTACTTTATGTTTTAGCGATAACGTTAAATTTCTGATTATAATTTCCGTGTTTATGGTGTCACATCAACGTAAGAAAACACACTTATTTTCAAGTTTTTGTACGCTAAACGAATTAACGCTTTTCTTTAAAAATATTTTTGACCTTTGAGATTCAATTAATTTTTATTCGGCCTATTTAAGTTACGTCCCTCAAGAATAGTTAAATTTAGTGAATATTTAGATACAAATAATTTACCTGCATTTTCGCTATTGAGCAGTATATAATAATGGCAGTTTTTATATCCTCTCTATAGCAAGCTCTTATAGACAAAAAATGGTTGCTATTGAAAGGTCTTGCCATATCTAGATTCAATTATATTGCGAAGTCTTATTATGGGAAGAATGGATCTTGTTGTTGTAAAAAGGTTGTTGATTTACAGTGGTCTCTATGTAGAGTTTATCCTGAAGTTTATTGTAGAAGTGAGATCTTCACAATGCTTTATCAAAATAATTAGATATTGTAGAATGGTTTATTGTTATCATGTTTTGGAGCCCTCACTCATGTACACATATCATGAACCATATTTAGATATTTCTTGTTTTTCTTTAATAGTTTTTTACACTTATTCATATTATAGATTCGAGACGATTATAAGAAGTTTATGAGGACAGTAGCTCAATTGTTGGTGGCTGATTCTGGTTTAAATCTTGACCCTAATATAGCGGCCAATAAAATCCAAACTTTCGTGGACGACGCATTTGATGTCGAGTTTCAGCTCGCTAATGTAAGTTTGACCTAATTTTTATTTGACCTTTTTTTCTTACTTGACCTTGTTTTTATTTGACCTTTTTCTATTTGACTTTTTTATTTGCCCTTAATTTCATATTAAAATGTACTAAATGTATATAATTTAAGCATTAGGCTTTTGAATTCTAATAGATAATAATAATAATAATAATAATAATAATGATGATAATAATAATAAATATTATTATAATAATAATTATAATAGCATAACTTAATGTGACAAATAGCCAGCTCATCTATACTTTCTTAATTTGATTTATTTTCAAGAACCACATATAGTGTTCTTTACTGCTTTCAGATTACAGCAAACACAGTTCCTACTGGTGATCCACACAATCACGAGAAACGTATAACTCTGTCCGACCTTACGTCGCAGACGAACAATGTCGTGAGTATTTTAACCATTGCCACGCTTTATATCCTAAATTTACTTGTCAATCTGGTCAAAAACAATAATCATACGAAGGAACTCTCAAAGTTTGTTCTAAATGAAAAGCAAACAGTGCAGACCATGATCAATTGATCTTGGTCTGTACTGTTCGCACTAGTGGAACCATTTGTCACCAGCAGCCGAAAATGGTTTAATGATCTTTTGTCAAAAGCAGCAATAGTATGTTTGAAACATTGGATTCACTGAACATACTTATTAATCGGAAAAAGGTGTCTTGTGGTTAAAGTGTTTGCTTTTCAACCCAGGCATCGTATTCGTATCTGACTTAAGTTCTTACGAATATTTTTAGTTCGTAACGGAAAAACAAATGCACCAGAAAAAGTTCCCGTCGAGGTTCGGGTTCGAACTCGCGACCACGCGCTTATATCTAGACCTCCGGGCCAAAAATTAGATTCCCTGATTTCTACTATTACTAACTATTGATATATTTAGGAAATAGATATCTATTCTGAGTGCATTGTTGTAGAATAATGCACGGATTGAGTTCAAATGCGTAGTAATATAATCACGAAGGCCGATACGTCTTGTAGAAAACTTATTACAATATGTATTTTTTTCCATAAATTACAAAAAATTAACTTATAATCTATTCATTTGTCGTCGTGTCATATTTTATTTGCAACACATATTATTTAGGGAAATAAATCAATTCTGGGTGGATTGTTGTAGAATAATGTAAAAATAGTGTTTTTACAATAAATATATAATATATGATGATTTATTCTCAAACTTGTGCCAAAAAAAAAATCAAAAAAAAAATCAAATGTTCGAATATTCCACTATTCACGCACATTTATGTTTTGATGATAATTTAATATTTTACATCCTGGAACATGGAACAAAAAATAGCATGGCAGACATAGTGGTATGTTTACATACTCGTTAAACAACATAAACAAGTTGTGTTACATATAATCATGCAAGTGTCTACACACAAACACATGTTTCAAATGTCGTAGATAATTGAGTATGAAGATTTATTTATAGAAAAGTACGTAAATATGACTTTTCTACATGTCTAAGTAACGCCTATAACAATTATGCCTTTAGGGGTCAGGAAAATTTTTGACGCTCCGAATTATGATAAATATCAGTTCTTTTTGTTGTTTTTTTTTTTGAATTTCGATTTTAAACTTGTAATAATTTTTGTTATAAGTCGGAAATAATGTGTTGTCAATTAATAGATTAAACTAAATAAAATGTTTAAAGTTTCATCAGAAGTGATCACACTTTTAAAAAATAATGCTGACGTCATCGTCAACGTAATGATTTTTTTTCCTTCAAATTTTCAATCTTTAAAATCCAGAACAAATACAAACTAGCATTAAGTTCCAATTGCACATTTGCTAATTATAACATCTTTTTTTATAGGTGGATTTTGTGAGTTTCTTCCAGTATATGTTTGGTTCGTCGAATGTTAACGGAAACACCCGAGTTATTCTTAGAGAAGACGATTGGATACGAAGAATGCTCGCAATGGTTAGCGCAATTCCGGAAAGTGATAAAGCCAGGTATGGAAATGTTTAAAAGAAGGCATGCTTTCTAAGAATCGAACTCTAAGCAAAGTTACAAATGGAAAAATAAACAAAACGGATGTTCTTAGTTTAGAAACGCGAAAATTTTAATAATCTTTAAAATGGCGGAATAAATAAGTTTTATTTAATTTTTTCTTGTTTTAAAACATCATTCATATGAAAATATAAATTATGAAACACTTTTGATTGAACAGTTTTGATTCCAACTGGAGGCATGTCTGTGTATAATTTCAAGTTGATTATGTCAGAAATAACTCCAAAAGTAAACTCGTTTAGAAGCAATAAGATTGATTGATGTGAATGAACTTGATAACAGATTAAAAAAAATCATAAATCTTCAAAGTTTTCATAGATCTCTAGATTCAAAGCTTTAAAAACAAGTTTAGGTTAACTGTACACAACATGTTTGTTAACTTGTTTTGTGTTCAAATACAGTTTTGATCAGTCAGTTGACATCTTGCTCGGCTTGAAAATAGCCGTTGCGTCTTTTATGTTACGATCGTACTTTTTCGGCCATTTCCGTCATGCTTCGGGAATGGACTATAATCATGTGACCGGCAAAGTGTTCTCCTCCAGTCGATTTGTACAGTTTTACGACAATATTTCACCAAGTGATCAAAGGTGTCCGAATTTCACCAATTTCATAAGAATCGTGGGTTCGAACCCCTACTCGGGTCACAACCATGTCTAATTATATATCACCGGTCAAACTAGTTAATTCCAGGCAACAGGCTCCAACAAGTGTCACTGTCGAGCAGAAATAAACGTATTTAAAACATTTATAATATCAAGTTTCACACCATGAAATTTTCAGAAAGTTTCAAAATTACATGATTTGGCGGCTTGCCCAGTCTTACGCCACTGAGTTATCCTGGGAATACATACATGCCAGTAGAGAGTTCTTTGTGGACCAGTATGGGTACCCCTCTTTCTTGGGAACAAACAAGCACTGTTTTGGGCTTGCAGACCGGAAGTTCCCTGACGCCCTCGGATCTTTGTTTATTCGAGATCATTTTGCAGACACAAATAAGAATAAGGTAGACAATGTACATGTAAAGAGTGTAGATCGGCTAGAAGACGTAGATTGGCTAGTTTAGTTAAATCATAGTATATAATAAACGTAGAATGGTTGATGGAAATTCGGAGGTGGTGGAGCCTTGCACGGGTTTCTGTTGATCGTTATATAGTTTCTTTAAAATGTTATATACCCTATATATTACAAAACACTTGTTTATTGGTATAAGACATATCAATGTTTCGTGCAAGTTCGCCTATTTTGTCATTTTCTGTTTTTCCCTACTATACGAGTATATATTCTCATTTGTAAAAATCTTTTTTATTTTAAACATATACATGTACAATGTAGTATTTAGTGTGACACTACCCCATGATGTATTTAGGTACACTTTATTTCACACTCATTTTTCTATTAGTTAAAAATATAAAGACCATTCCTTTATTCTCTACTATAAAGTTCACATATTTTTTTCATTTTTAAAAGCTAGTGATGTTTAAGAGATGTCGGTTAGTTTTCCCTGAAAACAACGAAAACAACAGAAATACCAAACATGTAGATTTGATTCAATAGCATACATTTAGCTTGATAGCATAACTTAAACATAGATAAACCATTAAACCCTTAACCTGCTGAATTTCTTAAATGGACTAGTCTAACTACCAATTTTGGAACTGTCCATTATCGGTTTTGGGGATGTCAAGTTCAAATTTGGGGGTCAGTTGACCAACAGCCTGGTCAGACTCCGCAGATATGCAGGCTGGACTGACTCTATCATAGCGGCAAAGGTTGGTCACTTCCGGTTCTGGCAGGATAAGGGCTAAGAGGATAGATAACCTGTAGTAAAACTTAGCAAATATAGACAAAAGATTTGTCATAAGTTAGAATTGTCAATGTCATCAAAAGTTTACTTTATTATATAGTCAAACGGCGTGTGAGACAGAGGGTATGCAAACAAACTTCTGGGATGATGAACTTCACTGACATACCTTTTAATATTTTCCTTCTGAAATATTTCATTTTTTTGTTATTTACTTACTTTTGCAGAAAACTGAGTAACTACATTATTTGGGCTATCGCTCATACGTACATCCAGGAGTTGTCGTGGAATTATATCCACGCAGTCCGCGTCTTCTGGGCGGATGTTTATCAATATGAAAGCTTGTACGGAACCTGGTACCATTGTTTCTGGCACGCTGATCATAGTATGCCAGACGCTTTAGGGGCGCTGTACGCCAATCAACATTTCAACGATAGAAATAAAAACAAGGTTTTCTAGTTTTCTATAAATTTGCATTCTGACCAACTTTCAGAATCACCAAAATCCTTCTCTAAACAAATTTTCCCAACATATTCGACTTTAAAACATAAAGTTTGCTTTCCATTTCTGTACATGCTCTCATCTCACTCTTCCCGGAAATCAGAGTAACAGAAGATAAACGAGTCTACTTCCGGTTTTTGCAAGAAAAGCCTCCCAAGAAAGGTTCAGAGACCGGAAGTAGCAGGTATCTAATAGTATAAGGCTTGCAAAATATGGCACTGTGATTCCGTTTATCCACTGCCGTAGTTTATAACTCACCGGGAAATAAAGATAGTATTAAATCAAGCCTGCAAAATTTGAAGCGTAATAATGCAATTAAAACCGCCAAATCGGTACGAAATACCTACGGGATAACTTTCAAGGAATTAGCGTCTGCAACTTAGGATAGCCAAATCAGGATAGCCGGCATATAGGGCTTCTATGGTGCACTCACGAGTCTAAATATTTGAGTTTGAGGAGTATCACAATAAAACTTGCAAAAAAGAACAAATGCATTCTCATCACATGGTCTGGATATTGTGTTCAAAATTTTGAATTTTCTATAGCTTGAAAGGTGAAATTTTCGGGCCAATCTTTTGACGTGTTCCCTTTATTATCATTTTCCTGTTTTTAGCAAATGATTTTAATTGTTACAGAAAACTGAGTAACTACATCGTGTGGAGATTAGCTCGCCGGTACACCCAGGAGTTGTCGTGGAATTATATCCACGCAGTCCGCGTCTTCTGGGCGGATGTTTATCAATATGAAAGCTTGTACGGAACCTGGTACCATTGTTTCTGGCACGCTGATCATAGTATGCCAGACGCTTTAGGGGCGCTGTACGCCCATCAACATTTCAACGATAAAAATAAAGACAAGGTTTTTCTTCTATTTTGATAAGCATAATACCTTGACAATCGGGATCATAAAAAAACCTGCTTTAAACAGATTTTCCAAAGCAACAAGACAGCTTGTCATGCGATATTGTCCATTTAACATGTAGCAATTCTAACATCACCGCCCGCGGCATGTTTTACCAATGTTACTTGCCTACATCAAACCCTAAGAAAATGGACCATGAACTAATTAGTACAAGCAAAATCATGTAAGATTTCAATGAATGGGCGTGTCATGACATCAATTTAAAAATGATTTTTTTCCATTTTTTTTTTTTTGCTTGGGATATATGTCATATATAAGTGCGCATGATTGTCATTAGTTGGAGGAAAAGTAACAAATTTGGCTTTTGAAACGTGCTTTCGGTACAAGTGCTGTAAGCTTGTTGGCTTTAGAAAATGAAGGTTACTGTTTCATCACGAGAAGAATCATTTTTTAAAGATGTCTCTATCGCCACAGATATTCAGTGAAAGTTCAAAAAAGTTTATTATGGAACTTTTGAAAACATCGTGTTTTGTAATTTACCATTTTCTTCACAAAGCTTTTTTCCTGTATTAAGCACATTTCGTTCGAATTTTCTTGTTGTATAATAGCAATAGCCATATAAAGCCCCTTCCTCCCCTCGTATATTACTCTAAAGATGTACATTGTTTCTTGTATCATAGTTTGGAGACCTTTCTGTTGAAAATGTGTCAGGGTTAAATCGTATACATATACATGCACAGTGCGTTAACTGGAGTGCGGGTATTAGTTACCCGCACTCCAGAGCATGCCCATTGATTGGTTCGTTTTTGCTGGGGTTTACATATTGTGACGGCAGTGAAAGTGAAATCGACAGAAATGTCATATTTAGATGCTCGTTCATTGGTTCATTTTTGCCGGGGTTTCATATTGTAACAACAGGGAACGTGTTTTTATGTTTGACTATGATACAAAAGAGAAAGAACACCAAAACACTCGGTAATCTGATTAATACTCGGGGGGCTACGCCCCCTCGTACAAATCAGATAACCTCGTGTTTCGGTGCTCTTTCTATTACTTGTATCATAGTTTGGGAACCTTTCTGTTGAAAATGTGTCAGAGTTAAATCGTATACATATACATGCACAGTGCGTTAACTGGAGTGCAGGTATTAGTTACCCGCACTCCAGAGCATGCCCATTGATTGGTTCATTTTTGCTGGGGTTTACATATTGTGACGGCAGAGAAAGGGAAAGCGACAGAAATGTCATATTCAGATGTTCGTTCATTGGTTCCTTTTTGCCGGGGTTTCATATTGTGACAACAGGGAACGTGTTTTATGTTTGACCATGATACAAAAGAGAAAGATCATCAAAACACTCGGCAATCTGATTAATACTCGGGGCCACGTTTAACAATCCTGCATGTTTTGCATGTTTCCAGAAAATGACATATACCAAAATATATATTTTATGTTTATATATATTATTGTTTATGTTTTCTTGCATGTTGTAAAAAGGTGTTATTTCTTTCTTAATTTTGACTGAGAAACGTTTGTAGATCGTATGATTTTTCCCTCAGATTTTGTTTAAAATACTTTTCGAATATTAATAAGTTTACATGCATGTAAAATTTATGACTAAGTAATGTTTTGTGTTTTTCTAATGTAATTGATTTACTGATAATGATATCGTTAAATTATATGAAAATATATAGAAATATACTTAATTAGATATGTATAAATATTGAATCTCTGAAATTATATTTATTGCTCATCCATTTTCAGAGACATGTATATACATAACACTAACATGTAATAGTCTTTCAGGTCAATAAATGAATCATTTATTAACAGGTATATATTGTAAAACTAAGGTTTGTTCGCCTGAAAACAGTAAATTTATTGTTAAAGTTACTCTTTAACCTCCTAAATTTATTAAATGGATGTGACTGGCTTTAAATTTTGAAATATTCATTCAAAGTTAAAGGAACTCAACTGAGGTTCAAACACCACCAAGACATCAACTTTGAATTTCTTACATACACAGCCGTGGTACTTAAAGCAGAAAAATATGCAAAAATATTAAGAAATATACTCAGAAATAAATTGAAAATCTTTTTTGAGCTATTCTTAGCCCGGTTTGAGTGCCAGGTGTTGCAACGCTTTTCAATGTTAGGTCATTTTTCACAATTAAAATAATAATTATATAAAAACAGAGAGAGCGAATGATCTGAAATTGTGCACACAAGTTATTGGTCTATATCTACATCAAAAAGATTATCAATTTCGGAAAAAAATGTTACAGTCACGAAATTTCAAAAATCTTAGTTGAGTCCCTTTAATAAAATTTTATTGTCGAAAATTGAGCTTGGGCAAGGCATTATACCAGTGGCAAAGGCTCAGCAGGTTATGGGTTAACGAAGTTAAAAAAAAGAAGATGTTTGCATAGTTTCATGACAGTTCGCAAATACACGAAATCAGCACTAAATTCTCTTAAAATGGCAATAGAATATACATACTATTTAGTTAAGTTATGTTATTTATGTATGTACTGTAAACTAAGACTGAAACTAAATGTAAAAACTGAGTTTCTTTAAAGAAATACAAAGACTGAAACTAAATGTAAAAAACTAATTTATTTTAAAGAAATTTGTCATTTGGATTAAAACCACAGAAATTATATTAAGCTATGCCATGTATGCATTATGACAGTATATTTTTCAAGTTATAGATTTACTCCCTATGATCTTCTTAGAAATATAAAATGCACTTCTAAAATCATTTATTACATTTCGGATAATTGAATGATTAATATTTTTCTAGGCTGAAGAAATCGTGCGTTATGTGAAACAGGCCCTTATTGACTCTGTAGATAGTAACACGTTTATGGATGACACAACGAAACAAAGAGCAAAAGCAAAGGTGATAATTTTGTTCATTCTTGACTCACTTTATGATGATTTTATGAATGTCTCGTCTGCCGATGTTTACAAAATTATTTATAAATACATTTGTACTCCAGTGAAAAAAATGTATTTTCTAAAAATCAGCATTCAGCAAGAGCTAAGATTGGTTGATTGTAGGTCAGACAGGTCCTGCAATATTTTATAGAGAACCATGGAGATTTCGGGTTTTAATTGTTAGCTTTAACCATAAACATGTTGAAATTCTGTATTGGATGTCATGCTTTGAATTGGGAATTATCCATACAAAGTTTTAAAGAATTTCAATATCAAAATTCAAAAATGCTCAGCCGAGAAAAGTCAGATTCTAGTCACTGCAGTCACTACACAGGGTGCAATATTTCTTGGTTTTATAAGCTGATGGCAAAGGTTCTTCAATTGAATCAGTTGTTGATGATCATGTCAAAAGTGGATCTGATAATAATCAACATTTCATAGAGCCTGCAGCAGTTTCACATTGTACATACCGTGCCTAGCTAAATTCTTTCCGTTTTTCTTTGAACATATACGTGTATGCACCTTTGTCGACATAAAAAAGATCAAAACCTAAATTTGTCAGGCTATTGGAAAATATACATGTAGATTGTCATGCGAAGAGCATACGTGACAAAAGCCATTAGGAAAAAACAAACAAGTACAAATATATATTAAAAACATTTGTAAACATGTCATGTACAAGTGTATAAACAACCTGTTACGTGTGCTACAAATGTATTTATCGGTTTAATATTTGTACAATGTATCAAGATACTTGCGGCCATGTTTTCGCAACTTCTTCTCTGGCAGGTCAAGGGTCAAACAAGGGCGTTGTATTTTAAATTGTTTTACGACATGGTCTTTATGTTACTATAAAACTGTTCTCGTGTTTCATTTTTTTCTTCAGAATATTTGTATCAATCCATAGACATGTTGAATTGTAAATGTGTACAAATTTAGGTAAATATCTATGTATTAAACATGCCAATGATATGGTTCAATATCAAGGACTATAGCAAGGCTTTTTTGTGACATAAATACTCAAATGTTTACGGCTACGGTTACTGAAATCTAATGAGATGTTTGTTTGAAACCTACCCGGGAGTGTGGATACTTTATGGGAGGAACAACATTCAGCTACCTTTCAGAAGGTCAGTGGTTTTACGCAGGTGCTTGGTCCGGCATGAATTGGACCGGCCCGAAGTCTTCCTTTAAGCGTTTATTTGAAAAACAGATTGACATTTCACCAATGCCAGAGTCGGTGTGGCTTAAGATATGAAAAATAGGAGATACCTCTAAATAAATGAAACCAAAAAATAAACAGTTGAAATCGCAGGCTCGGTTCTATTTAGTTTCTTCATTAGTGATAAAGGATAACATTTACGCCCCCCCCCCCCTGCCTCGGCTTATGCGGTATTCAATCCCCAACGATTAAAGCATTTATAAGCAAAGGATTCTGTATCGGTATTTAAGTCTCTTTTTAACATATATATGGTAATTTCGTCAGATTATTTATGCGAAGAAGTTGTTTCATCTTTGCATACGAAATTTATTTGAATATCCGGAAACTTTTGTACTGAAACGTTCTAATAATGAAATATTTTAGAAAATTGTCAATATGACTTTTTATTCGTACAGCTTTCAGCATCTACAGATAAGATGGGATATCCTGACATTTACATGAACGATGCTGACATTGACAACATTTATCAACAGGTGACGTTATAGCTTACCTTACGTAATATAGGTTTATTTGTTTGAAGAGCTTTGCATTTAGACTATTTCGTCTTTGGACCTTTTACTGCTTAAATAATTCTGTGGGACTTAGAAAACAGTTAAATCGTGATGTGGCTTTGAGGCCTGGTCTCGTTTAATATATATCGTATTATTCAACCTAAATATAAGACATTTACATTCAAAGCATGCACAGTGGTGAATAAGGCTACTTGAAAGTTGAAACAACAACATTTATAAATTAAATATTATCTTTCTTTTTGGACACAGGGATGCCAATTTTCAATATTTTTTTCCTTCATGAAAGGGAGGTCAAGTTCTACTTGACAAGTGTGCCACCATCGTCTTTCGGGCAAATTTATGTTTATATATATTCACTTTTTTCTCTAAATAGAAATGTTTCTATTTATGATCATTTTTAAAATGTTTTATAATTAAACGCGTTCGTTTTATTTTATTCCAGATATCAATCAATCGAACAGACTACTTCCAAAATCTCTTGAATTTGAATTTGTTCGACAAACAGGATTGGACCCGTCGATTAACATCAGGGGAAGACAGGTCCCGGTGGTTATATAATTCCTACGACACATCGATGACGTTTTATAATTCTTGGAACCAGCTACTGGTTCCCGCTGGAATTCTGCAGTTCCCTGTGTATGAATGGACTCTTCCACATTATTTCAATTTTGGGTCAATGGGTGGCCTTATGGGACATTATCTGGTACATGCTATAGATAATTGGGGTATGTTCTCCCGATGTTTATTTCTTGTTTATATGAAATAATCTATTTATTTTGTAAAAAAGATCTAAAGTCTTTTGTTTTCCAATATTTCTTTTTTTCATTGCCAAGAATATATTTGGAATCGAAAACATTTTTGAAAGATTTTCTGGAATCAGAATTATTGTTTCCGATGCATTCATAGTGTAGTGTTCCTGTCTTGATACAAATAATTTTGACAATGTTAATGGCAAAGTTTCGTTACTCGTGTCTTTTATTATTTTACCAAAAAAAAAAAAAAGGATATTTTACTTGATCTTTGAGATATATAGCTTTTACGATGAGCGTGCAATGTTCAAGCAATGGTTGATTCGTTTGTAAATTTCGAATAACCTAGTCATTTAAAACTGGAAGTAGTATAATTAACTATACAATTTCAAACCCAGAAATCATTCGAGGATAATTTTGTCTTTAACTGCTTTTATCCTTGACAATGGCCCGCGAGTTAATGTACAGTATATTGGCCCATATAACGTCCGATGTTGTAAATATATCGGACGGTTACATGATACAAATCAGAAGATGTAAATAATGACCATGTAAGACATTGTTTTGTATGATTTTGTTTGATTTTAAGGTGGTTCCTATAATGAGAATGGGGTCTATGGTGCCTGGTATACTAATGCATCTCGGACCAACTACCGGAAAGTGGAAACATGCTTCTCTGATGCTTATGATAATAAAACTATGGGACCATACAAAATTGTCGGTCAGTCTGCGCCTCAGTCGGTATGTATACATGTACATTCAATTAAAGGGACATTAGTCTTTAGAAAAAAGTACAGTTTTACTTTTTTAGAAACAAATGAGCTGCGTCATGACAAAACCAACATAATGCATTTGCGACCAGCATGGATCTAGACCAGCCTGCGCATCCGCGCAGACTGATCAGGATCCATGGTGTTTGCTAACAAACCCAACTACAAGTAGAGAAACTGATAGCGAACAGCATGGATCCTGATCAGACTGCGCGGATGCGCAGGCTGATCTGAATCCATGCTGGTCGCAAACACATTATGTTGGTTTTGTCATGACGCGGCTCAAATACAGTTTTACTTCTTTAGAAAGGGCAAACATGTATTGTACAGTAAAAACTCCCTAAACCGGAAATGTTCTATCGAAATCGTTCCGGTTTCCGGAGTTCGAATTTTCCAGTTAACAGAAGCTTTTTTGTACAAAGAAACAAGAAGGAAAAAAATCGGGACCGCGGGAAATTTTCGGTTTGCAGAGGATTCCGGAATACAGAGTTTCCGGTTTAGGGAGTTTTTACAGTATTATGTTTAAATAATGGTTTTACTTAAAATAAGATGCTTGTTACCTACAAATGTGAAATAATTTGTCATAAAAGTCGCAAATGTAAACAAAGTAGTATTTTGACTTCCATACATAATACTTATTCACTATAACTGTACTTATTGCCAAAAAGCAACACAATAAAAGATGGTTTAGGTAATTGGCCATTGAGTAATGTTTTGGATACTATAAAAGTACACCAACAGTAGAACAGAAGAAAACTTTTGAGAAATAAAAAAAAATAAAGCATTTGTGAGGCGTAATGGGCCTGTAAGAGTAGGGTTCATTTTGATTTTTCTCTATAATTTTTCACATAAATTCTCACTAGTTCTGACTTCAGTAGCATTGATCATTCGTGAATTATATGTGACTGTAAAATTGTTGAAGTTTACTGCGTACAAAAAGGACAGACACGCACGCGATTTTTATACTGACTTTACCTTCTAAACAGAAATCACGGTGTGAATCTGATTTTCAATTTCTGTCTATTAACCATCTGGTTATTGAAATGCTGACTAATTCTATATAATTAGTTGGACCGCTTCTGTATTTTCCCCTCTTTGTAATTAGTAAATTTGAGATAAAAAACAACAAAAGAAGACAGCCGTTGTTATAGCAACATTGTTAGCCGAGTAAAGTCACGCACGTACACACTGGTCATACATATATACATTTGAAACAAAACGAAAAAAAAAAACAATGTATAGCAAAAAATTAGTATGTAAAATATACTAGTTAATAACAGACAGAAATTATGAGAAATATGCATTAAATATAAATGGTTATGGTTTTGAATTGTAATACATGTATCGCCCAATATTACCTTGCTGTAAACCTATATAAGCCGCGGAGCTAAGCAAGGGTTATATAGCAATCAAAAGTTCATATAAGGCCATATTATCTATTAAAGATCTTCATAATATTGATCAATAGCTTAATTTAAATTCAAAAACAAGAATTAAATCATTGATTTTGTAGCAACCGTGCATATGTTTAGTTATAAAGAATTTTAACAGGTTATATGGCACTATATAAACGATTGTTTGTATATGAAATCTGAGCCGCTGAGCCGCTAGGCGAGGGTTATATCGTTTATTTACGGCCATATAACATTTCAAGAGTCATTATAATGAATTAATAATACAGCAAACCTTTTTTCTTAGAGAAAATGAAATAAATTTCTTCATAAATTAACAGAAGCAGTGTATATAAAACTTAACTTCCCAATTATCCAATGAAAAGCGACGTTACAAACGTGCAGTATTATAAATATGATAAAGACCTCAATAGTGTCCAATGTGCAATGAAAATTCGCGTTACAAACGTTCAAAATTATGACATTATTTTTTAGGCAATATGAACATATTTTTCAGGTACAGGTGAATGGTAGACGGTTTGCATGGGAAGGCCTGGCAGAGACCAGTGGTATCAGGGTGGCTTATAAGGTTTGATTTATTGTTCATTGATTAATAATCAATTATTTTAAGCAACATAAGTATTCTGAATTATTCAAGAATTATCGTAATAAGGCGGTTTCAGACCACCAAATGTATTGGTACGGTATCATATATCCAATATATTATTTGTGTATGAAAAAGTAAATTAAAATAAATAAATATTATTTTTAAATAAATATTTAAAAAAATTTATTTTAGGCCTATAAGAAGTGGATAGCAGACAATGGGGAAGAGAAACCAACGCCAACACCTCATTATACAAACGACCAGAGCTTCTTCTTGGCATATGCTCAAGTAAAAAACAATTTTTGAACTACCACTTTTATATTCAGCTACCAATTTTAATTTTTAACCGAATTGTTGAATTCACAATAACAATTGCAACTTTTCGGTCTTTTTAAAGTTAAAACAAAATTTGTGAAAGTTACTCTTAGGCACGTCGAGGTGTTTGCAGCCAATTAAAAATAATATGTGCAAATGCTAAGACTGTTGCAGAAAACCTGTTGTTTCGAGTTATATGTATGTCGAAGAAAACAGCCATTTTTCACAAAATGCTCATGCAGTAATGGGTTTATTCTGGAGTAAGTCTTTTACAATAGAAGGTTAAATTGATATAATGTTGTTTGATACATATTAGCTGTGCTTCTTTGGCCTAAATTCTGTAATTATAATGACATATATTCGGTTGTTGTTCCAGACTAACTGTTTCACAAGGACAGATGCGTTAAGCTACTATTATGCCCAGGTACAAAGACTACCCGAGGACGTGAGGTAAGAAATAAAACTAGTCGGTAGACGGATAAAGGGGAGTATTGACAATTGAGTTTATTTAAAAAAAAATTGAACATTGAATATTAAAATTCAGACTTCGAACGCAAAAATGACATATATATTTTTGCTGTTTGCTAACAAAAAATACTAGGCACTGTTGGCGGTGCCCTTTTTTAAAAGATACAGTACAATCTCTACACCTGTGTGGTTGTAGCTGAGACGTTTTGCTCTACTGGGGAACATTTATGAGAAGAACTGATACTACTGTTGTTAAGAGGTAGTTGCGGTGCAGAGGGCTGATCTGATTATTGCGGTACACATGGCTGTTCTTGTAATAGCGGTACAGAGGGCTGTTCTGGTAATTGCGTTGTAGAGGGGTGTTCTGGTAATTGCGGTGCATAGGACTGTTCTGGTATTTGTGTTGCAAGGGGTTGTTCTGGTAATTGTGGTGCAGAGGTCAGTTCTGGTAACTGAGGTGAAGAGGGTTGTTCTGGTAATTGAAGGGCAAAGGCTGTTCTAGTAATTGTGGTGCAGAGGTCTGTTCTGGTAAATGCGGTGCAGAGGTCTTTTCTGGTAATTGAGGTGCAGAGGACTATTCTGGTAATTGAGATGCAGAGGTCTGTTCTGGTGATTGAAGTACAGAGGGCTGTCCTGGAAATTCCGCTGCAGAGGGTTGTTCTGGTAATTGCGGTACAGATGACTGTTCGCAGAGGGCTGGTCTGGTAATTGCGGTGCAGAGGGCTGTTCTGGTAATTGCGGTACAGATGGGTTTTTTTTGGTGATTGAGGTGCAGAGGGTGTTCTGGTAATTGAAATACAGAGGTCTGTCATAGTAATTGCGGTGCAGAGGGCTGGTCTGGTTAATGAGGTGCAGAGGTCCGTCATGATTTGCCGCGCAGAGAGCTGTTCTGGTAATTCCATTGCAGAGGGCTGTTTTGGTAATTGCGATGCAGAGGGCCGTTCTGGTGATTTCGGTGCAGAGTGATGTGATGGTAATTGCGGTAAAGAGGGCTGTTCTGGTAATTGCAGTGCAGAGGGCTGTTCTGGTAATTGCAGTACAGAGGGCTGTCCTGGTAATTCCGCTGCAAAGGGCTGTTCTAGTAATTGCGGTACAGATGGCTGTTCTGGTAATTCCGTTGCAGAGGGCTGTTCTGGTAATTGTGGTGCAGAGGTCTGTTCTGGTAATTGAGGTGCAGAGGGCTGTTCTGGTAATTGCAGTACAGAGGGCTGTTCTGGTTATTGCAGTACAGAGAGGGCCGTCCTGGTAATTCCGCTGCAGAGGGCTGTTCTGGTAATTGTGGTACAGATGGCTGTTTTGGTAATTCCGTTGCAGAGGGCTGTTCTGGTAATTGCGGTGCAGAGGGCTGTTCTGGTAATTGCGGTAAAAGAGGGCTGCTCTGGTAATTGCGGTGCAGAGGGCTGTTCTGGTAATTGTGGTACAAAGGGTTTTTCTGTACAGGTTGTACTGTATGCATTTAATATTTGACAAAGTGCAATGCACAATGATCATGCATCTTTAGTCTAGCTGAGCTTTGCTTCAATCATTTTTATATACCGTCAAACCATTTATTGTTTCTGCTACGCTTGACTTATTTACTGTATTTTACCATTTCAGGACCAACACAGCACTTTCCCTACTGACGGAGTTTACACAGGCGTTCAACTGTCCGGCAGGGTCGAAAATGAACGCGCCAAAGAAATGTGATACATATTAAAATCGCCTGAACATCATGAAAAAAAGATAAAACATTTTTATACTCAGATTTAAAATACTCAAATATCGTGTCAGGAATTGTTACATATATATTGATAAATGTATTTTTTCTTCTCAAAGATGATTTGAATGTTATAAGCATATTCATTCTCTATTTGAAGATGGAATTTTATATTTTCTCTCAAAGAATGATTTCTGTTGCGGTTTTGTAAATGACAGATTGTAATTTCTGATCACTTCACATAGAATTTGCGCACAAATGGAGTAAATCTACCGGTAACGTTCGAAAGGAAGAAAGCATTCACGTTTTAGTGTTCGTAACGTTTTACATTTTATGATCTGGATCACGTTACGCTGTACATCTGCTGACTGTATTAGGGTCACTAGTGAACAATTATTAATAAAACTGTAGAAACGTACCTGAAACAGTAGAATTAAACATGTCTATATACATGTATATTACGTTATATACATGTTTATATTATAACTCTGAACCCTAATACATGTGCAAGTATTGTAGATATAACATATCTTCACTCAAATACAAGATAAGACTATAATTTTACTGATAAATCGATGTTATTACATTTCGCAACGAAATTCATTAGACACGTTTGTTTCTTAAATTAATTGCCAATGTCAACTATATTAATATTGTATATAACGTAGATTGTATCTCATGTCATCAAATGTTAAATGATATATATGCACATTTGTACTTAAACATTGCTTACTTAAATGTGTATAGTAAATTTTGAAATTAATTTATTCACAATTAACTATGCTATTCCAGTTTGACTTTTCATAAATTATTTACCATTTTTCATTGTAATTTAAATCATAATGCCTGAAAATTTAAGAATTTCTACTGTATTATGTTTTTGAGAATTGTGTAAGGCAGATTTCATCTATTATACTTTGAAAACATATGTATGTAAGATGTTTACCAATGCTTGTGTTTAATTTTATTCAATTACACAGCTGTGTAAAGATATATGCCATGCTCATGATTGTGTTTACACATTTGAATATTGCGCAGATTACTAAAATGGCACATCCTGTAGCAGTAAATACAATCCTAACACATTTACAGATCATATTCATGTGTCATCCTCTATATTTGAGAGTTACAACTGCTATAAAAGTTGAAAATTTGTCCTTCAAAAGTTGTTCCCCTTTCATAATTGAAAATAAGCTTATTGTCGGCGTTACTTCTAACAATTTACAAGACTTGACTATTTCTACCCGTACACCGCCTGCCCTAATCCAATCAAAACTGCGAATTTAATACCACATGATAACTAAATGAACGACAAAAGATATCAAAAAGGGGCACCGATGGGGTACCAGTTTTTGTCTGGTTACCTACATTTATAGAATTGAACTACTATTTTCATGTTCGATGTTCGAAACCAGATGGTAGGCGCCTGCGGGGTAAACTTTATTCTGAATATAGCTCTCAAAAGAAGAAACATTAGCTCAATGAGGGACAATAGTGGATTATCTTCCCTTGATAAAAACCGAGGTTAACCAAAATGTAAGTAGGTCCAAATATTTGGAATCCTTTGCTTTTATCGTTGAGTTTTATGTAAGACAGGTTGATATGTTTTAATAAATCATTTCCACATGCATCAACAAATATGTAAACAATAAGAAAAAAAATGTTTCATTTATGTCAACAGATTCTACATCTTATCGCAATATTTAATCTGAATATTACAAATGATAATAATTAGCCCTAATTAATTCAGTTTGCTACAAAGAAATAGGCGATAAAGTCCGAGTAATCCAATTGCTTAGGACCTATCTATTTAAAGGGAGTACTCAGGGGAGGTTATTCACTAATGTCCCCCATTGTATAGGACAAAGTCAATTTCACGAACAGTGTTTTTTTTCAAATACCCAAGTTAAGTAAAACCACATTATACGATCATCTGACGAGTATAATATTTTTTTTTCAATAAATTGAGTATTGATCCAATTACCTGCCATCACTCTGATAATATGGTATTATACATATTAGTATATTTGCTCGGAATCGTCGTTCAGCCAGGTATTCGAAAAAAACAGTTTGTGAATTTTTTTTTTTTAAAAATTGAGCTAATGTTTCTTCTTTTCAAAGTGCTATATCCCGAATTGTACCTCCATGATTTGATGAAGAAAAAATGAGAGGAGAAATCTGCGAATTTACCGACCAATCCTCTTACGTTTCGTGTAGAACTTGGCATTACATGCACTGTGTACTTGACCCTGTGACATTACGGGAGAAACACACGATGTACTGAATGAAATTGTTTGATAATCACCTGAAAAGGAACAGCTATATGATCATAGAAAAGTGCGGTATTCCATAACATTTACGTTTGGATATTTTTATTCTAATAAAAAACATAAATTAACAATTAGTTTAATTTTGAGACTGGTTTAAGGACTTGTATAAATGCACCCCCATTGCTCTCGTTGGAATATATTACCGACTCGTCCGTATGGCCAACAATCTACAAATACGCTTCGGAATAGTAGAAGGGTTCGTTTGGTTCATGCTCCCAATTTAAGAACCTTGTGGTAATCGTACGCGACCATCTGTTGATTCACATCAACGATAAGGGTTTTGCTTGCAGATATTGTGCAGTTTATACTTATTTTATAAAACTATTCATCTATACACGACAGGTAATGAAAATATTTTATTGCCTTATTGTACTTATATATTTTAAATCAAATTAAAAATTACATATAATTGTAAACATTAATGTATTATATTGATAACATGGTCATTCGTGTTGGCTGTTTCGGTGTTGTTATTTCTAACTTCGTAAAAAAACACTAACTTTAAGGGTTTGTTTTTTTATTTATTTTTTTTTTAAATTTTATTACAAATCCCTTAGGCGTAGATTTAATATCACACAAAGAATCTAATGAATGAGGAAACATGATTATATAACCGCGAGATTATTTTTAAGTTAGATATTAAAATCAGATAACAAAGTTTCGTAGAATATTCTTCTGTTTTCTAATACACTAAGGTGCTACAGCCATTTGATTTATATTTAAAACTGCTTTTCTAGAATAACTTTTCCGACAAAATACGGAATGAATGTTTTAGAATTCCATTTAAAATATACGAAGTCCTGTTCATGCCTTTTGTTTCAAACTCTCAACAGTATCGTTTTGAAGCATCGCGTTGAAAATATCGCATTGAAAATAAATACTATAAAAAGACAAAGAAATGGATGCCGGGGCAATTTTGACGGTCGCCACTGGACGAAAGAAAGAGTTTTTGTGAGATTTAATTTTTAACACTATGCAGTTCATCATACACGGGATTCCGTGCATATAGTCATGCAACACTTATACATACAAATATCTGTTTTTGTTTCACTTCAGTATAAAATTTGGACTGTTATAAATATTAAGCACACCTATTTATAAGATATCTGATTAAATCCATAGAAATGAAGGTATTCCTGCTGGTCTGTTTGGTTGTGGCCGCGCGAGCCAATTTCTTGGATTCTGTTGGTCATGCTTTAAGTGGTGCGGCACATTCAGTTGGTGACGCTGCAAAGACCGCCGCTGGTGGTGTCGTTGATGCTGCACAAACTGTTGGAGATGGAGTTGAAACAGCTGCCCATGCTGTGGCTGGAGTTCTCCCAGACGTTGCATCCACTCTTGGTTAGAATTCTGTTCAACTCTAAACATTTATTGTTAATTATGCAAACTATTTTAGAGATCGTTACATTTCCTTCCACTGTTTCTTGAAGCCTTTTTTTTTATCGTAGATTACATGCGTAATATTGGAGCTGAAGAATATTCAGAATATGTTTGCAGTCTTATCCAGAAACCTTTGGAATCTGTCTCTTGCTATGAATAATTTAGATCTCTCGCGGGCTCGAATCTTTTTGTTTTTGGTTACTAAAAAAATGTTGTTGTCAAAGTCAGACAGATACATATGATTTTCTAGGGTCAACATTCAAAGACGTCTGGAACGTAGCTAAGGATCCACTCAAGGAGGCTGGTGAGCAGCTTTTGAAAGAAGCCGCAGCCTACGCCCTCGAACAAGGAGTAACAATGGCCCTTGATGCTCTTGCTGCTGGGAAACGTGATATTCCGTAAGAAGAGCACCCATCTGAAATTTCCCTTTCCTTTTTTTTTAAAGGCACAATAATCCATTGATATGAAATTCTTTAGAAATGTGAAACCTGTGTTTAAAAATGTTTTGATTATGGATTAAGAGCATGTTAGATCTTTAACAGCAAAGGAAAGTAGCATTAAATGTGCAGCCAAGTGTCATAAAGGAAGCAAAATGTAAACAACCCATACAAAATAGTAATTCACTATAATGATATCAGTTGCCAACAAAGCAAAGAAGCAAAGATAGTTCATCTATATGGCAATTTAGTATGTTTTTATTTAGAAACGAGCAATATACCAACAATTTAAAGTGTTTGTAAAATTAAAATGATATCATATTTGAGAAATAATGGGCCTTTAAATTACCATACATTTCCCGTTTGACGATTCTTATTTAGACGGTTCTACATTAGGTGGTTCTACTTTAGACGGTTCAAGATGGTATGACATAAATTGTATTCTCATTTATCTCTAATGCACTGACCAATCATCCAAATCCACGCTTTCCACTCCCCCATTATTGTTCTCAATGTTTTTTTTAAAGATCTCACATGCACCAAGCTTATCATGATATAACTCGAACCTGACTCGCGCAATGATATTATTTAAAACAGTTTTGCAGCAATATTATTTTCAGAGATAGAACAGTTTTGAAGCAGTATTTGTCAGCGGTCATTCAAGATGAATACCATAAATGGTTGAAGGACACTGAAGATCAGATATTGGGATCCAAGGACGAACTCTTGACGTCAATGAGCAGGTTCACATTCCAGGACATGCCCGAGGAATTGAAGAATTATGTAAACGATTACGCCAAGGCTAAAATTGAGGGCAAAAGTGATGAATTTGTGGTTAAACAAGCAACCACAGCATATGCTAATGCTTTGAAAGGTATGTATTTTATCATAAAACTGCACGCTTATAAAGTGCTTCAAAACTATTTCGTTTTTTTCACAGACCGGAAATGTCGTCTGCTCTTCAAACCTTCAAACCAAAATATTACGTGACGTTTCATCAAATATGACAAGGTTCGGGTGGTAACTATTGTTCTGCACTGCAAATGTCTAGTTTCGATGATTGAATCAGAAGGTGAGGGTGAATGATGAGGGTTTGACTAGAATAAATTCGTGACGTCACTATAGTCTTATGATTTATGCTGATTTGTAGTACATCAGAATTCCCCGAAGCGGTTACTTCCCTTTATTACGGAATGCCGGAACTGTCGAGTATCGAGTTTCAGACCAAACCATTTATAGGCGATGGCCCTAACGGCATTCCGGAATGCCGTAAGGGCCATCGCCTATGAATGTGTTAATCTGAAACGCGATAGTCGATAGTACGATGGTGAAAACACGAAATCACGAAACTACGATGGTGAAAACGCGAAAGTACGATGATGAAAACGCGATAGTACGATGATGAAATCACGACAGTACGATGGTGAAAACGCGATAGTACGATGATGAAAACACGACAGTACGATGATGAAAACGCGATAGTACGATGGTGAAAACGCGATAGTACGATGGTGAAAACGCGATAGTACGATGATGAAAACACGACAGTACGATGATGAAAACGCGAAATCACGAAACTACGATGGTGTAAACGCGACAGTACGATGGTGAAAACACGATAGTTTATCGCGCTTTCATCATCGTAGTATCGTACTGTCGCGATTTCATCATCGTACTTTCGCGTTTTCATCATCGTGCTTTCGCATTTTCACCATCGTAGTTTCGTGATTTCGCGTTTTCATCATCGTACTATCGACTATCGCGTTTCAGATCAACACATTCATAGGCAATGGCCCAAACGGCATTCCGTACTTTATAAGTACACTAACGCCGAAAAATTAAGGGGAGATTTTTCTTTTGAAAAATTATATAAACTAAAATAAACATTGAATTGAATATCAGTGTTGCAATTAGCCTTATTGTCAATTTACTACAGTTTAATGCGTATGGTGGCTGATTCGTGCCATTCGTAATTTCGCCTCGCGAAATCCTCGAGAATTAGTTAAATGGCAGGGGCGCGAAGCGAAAACTAGCTGATTAGTGGGGAAACGATTTAATGAACAAAACGGCGGGGTCGCGGGGCGAAAACACGAATGGTCTAAATCAACCACCATAGATGCAAGTTATGAAGCCTTTATCTATATATGTAGTGCTGAAGACTTAATACTGCTGCAGTCCCTGTAGGATAAAAGCAGCGACAGACGATGTTGATCAAATGAGCTGTGTCACGACAAAACCAACATAATAGGTTTTCGACCAGCATGGATCCGACCAGCCTGCGTATCCGCGCAGTCTGATCAGGATCCATGCTGTTCGCTATCAGTTTCTCTACTTGTAACAAGCTGGTAAACGAACAGCATGGATGGTGATCAGACTGCGCGGATGCGCAGACTGGTCTGGATCCATGCTGGTCGCAAACCCATTATGTTGGGTTTGTCGTGACACGGCTCAAATGTTCACGCTACTCAAGTACAATACTTGTTGCTATGTTATTTTGCTATATTACGATAGCACCCAATGGACCATTTTTTTCATATAATCTTTTATAAAGGTCTTGTAACTCTTTTTTCAGCTCTGAAAAGCCGCCTTACCGACAGAGTTCAAGCCACTATTGCAAGTTTGACCCATTGAAAGTGTATGCTTAGGCAAAAAAGACAAATATAAAAATAAAAGCAATATAATTATAGCCATCTTGTTGTATCTTGTTGTGTTGATTTACGTTTTTTTACTTTTTTATTTCCTATCCTGAACGAGACGCAACTATGCGGATAGATAGTTACAGGAAAACCGTATATTACATTGATTCGAGAGTAACATAAAGTTTCTAGTGTTATGCGTCGTCCATTATTACATATAAATTTATCATAAATAAGTGTCAGCGAGCCTTTATATAATATAATTTAATTTTTAGATTTCAATTTTTCTAATTACAAATGTAGTTCGTAATCTAGAAAAGCCGGTAATGTGGATGGCCGCCGCGAAATTACAAAAAAACATGTTATAAAATCGCGATAAAAACAAAAAAAAAGAAACGTTTCTTTGATACGAACATAGAAGTTGATTAAAGAGCGATCTTGGTTTTCTGGAAGATTTTAGCAACTTTCTGAACGTTTTTTTAATCATCTGCAGACTCGAAATTATATTTGTGCCAACAACGACAGCATTTTCACCTCGAATGTGGTGCTTTAGTTCGGACGCCTGCAACTGTCAGTCTCAAGAAAAGACACACTGGTTTAAAAGTTGGCAAACGTGACCCTTAATGATAAATGAATACGAGTATCATCAGTTCATTTATTTTGACAAATAACAGATTCAGTTCACGGATTTTCCGAATCAGTCATTTTTAACCCGCTAAAATATTTTATTAAATGGGGGTAACGAGTCCTTTATTACCCTATAGAATCTCCAGTCATCTATTGCAATGAATTTGACCTTATTTGCGTAATCCAAGTTAATAGCCTTGTAAAACCGCACTGTGGGGTCCGTAAACTTCACAGCGCACTTTAGCTACATATCAACGCACTTTGGGTTCCAGAGCTCTGAAGTTGTCAATTGAGTTCGGCTTAAATACCGAACACTGACTGATATATCCGAGTTGCGACATTAAAAATAAGTTAAGCACACCCCAGAAATTTAAAACTGGATGGGTTCGAAAGCACTGTCAAGAAATGACGACTTAATTGAGCTAAGAAATAGTATTGTGATAAGTATAGCGATACCAATTTAGTGATCATAAACCAGTAAATTTATGAGTTAAGTTCATTCTTAACTAAATTATAGAAGCATAAGCAAATGTGTTTTTATTACCAAAAATGTAAGTGTTTATAAGTATGGTGTTTGAGCGTTTACAAGACATTTACTGGTGGATATTTTTGGTAAATGTTGACAATTACGTAACCTTAAATGACATTATGTAGCCAAATTTTTAATAACGTGTGTAACCGCCACGTGCCCGGATGATAGCCTCAACCCTTCTCCTCATACTACCAGTAAGGCGTCTAATGCGATTTTGAGGTAAATTTTGCCATTCTTGGTGCAGAGCTTGTTCCAGTTGTTGCAGGTTGACTACAGGTGGTTCGTACCATTGCCCAAATAAAATTTAAAATAAAGGTGTGACGAGAAGGGTTGAGGCTATCATTTTGGCACGTGGGGCACCATTTAGCAATAAGACGAGATGACTTTAGTATTTTCCTAAAATTGCCATTAAATGTGTTTGAAAATTATTCCTGTCATAATTGAACTTGCATTTCTTCTAAATATGCACTTATGATCTTGCTGAGTATGATAATTAAATTCTTATATATATGGCATCCATCTTGGATGCCATCTTAAATATGTAAGATGGCGTCAAAGAGGGATGCCATATTATAAGAATTTAATTGTTTCATTCCCCCCAGTGATGGCAGATTGACCCAACCAGATTTATTTTTCAATCTACAATATTCAACCTAGAAAGAACTACATGTAAAACTAATTAATTCAGACACCTTCCGTTAATATGACTAGAAATAAGGTTAATCCAGATTTTAATGGGTCCACAATAGATCTTATCGTGTAAGGAACTGGTTTCGTATTAGCTGAAAATATGTTTGACATGCAATTTTTACATTTGTTTGCACGGAACGCTAGTTCATGGGTGAGGCTTAAATAATATGTTATCTAATGTATTACGCATCATACATATACTGAGAGGCATCCATCCTATGAGCGAAATTATTGAATATAAAACATATATATATAATCCAGGGGTCTTGAGTTCGATCCCCCGCTCCTCCCTAGCATTACCAACAGTCTTTCGGATTGGACTTTAACCGAGGTCATTGGTAAAAAACATTGGTAATGTTAGGGAGAAGCAGAGGATCGAACTCAAGACCCCTGGATTATATATATGTATTAACCACCAGACCACAGATCCGCTCCTAAATAAATCGCTAGATTCCTAGATGTCCTTGTATTTATGGACAAGCTTCTGTCATTGTACGAAATATACAGTATAAAATACAATATATGTATGTACCTCTGGTGCATCTTCTGCTTCACTACATGAAGTTCTACATTTGATTGCCCTACTACTAATATCTTTTGTTGCAGTGTTTTTTTTCTTGTTTCAGTTAAGATTGTCGTCTTTTTTTCTGTATATCATGCACCACTTGAATATCAATACGGATTTTGAAACATTTAGTGTACATATTTGTGACAATTCTCAAGAATCGTGTATACCATATGAAACAAGCATTGTTAGCCCGCCTAATTCACACTGCTAGCAAATGCATCATAACGTTTAAGTGTTAAAATAATTAAGTATGAACTTAAGACCACTAGACTGCTAGCACGCTGAATTTGTACCACTGACCCGCTACACTGTTAGCTCACCGAGCTTACACTGCTAGGAAATATACCATAACGTTTTAATGTTTATTCAAATAAGTATTAAAGTTTAACCCGCTGGCCCGACAGCCCGTCCAGTTCATACTGCTAGCCCGCTACACTGTTAGCCCGCCCACTTCACAATGCTAGGAAATGTATCATGAGGTTTAAATGTTGATTCAATTAAGTATTAAAGTTTAACCCGCTGGCCCGTCAGCCCGCCCAGTTCACACTGCTAGCCCGCTACCATGTTAGCCCGCCCACTTCACACCGCTAGGAAATGTATCATAACGTTTTCATGTTCATTCAATTAAGTATTAACGTTAATCCCGCTGGCCCGCCATCCCGCTCAGTTCACACCGCTAGACTGCTAGCCCGGCCAGGTCACATTGTTAGCCCGCCCAGTTCACACTGTTATCCCGCTAGACTGCTAGCCCGCCCAATTCACACTGTTAACCCGCTAGACTGCTAGCCCATTAGCCCGCGTACTTCACGGCCATCTAAAACGTACACCAGTTATTCTTTAATGAAAATAATTTCAGGCGACATACACCAATTTATAAAGAAGTTTATATGGAAAGCCTTGACTGTCTTATAATTATAAACCTGAACATTGTTATGTCCATATAGCAATATATTGAGTCAACCTTTCCTTATACAATGTGCACTCATTATTATATTATGTGGATCCATCTTTATATGTAGTCAACTGAACAATACCTGATGACAACGTGTTTTATATGATGTCAATCTATCATTATACGTTGTGCACTTTTGAATATATTATGTGGAACCATCCTTATATAAGGTCAAAATAACTATATATGATGTCAATTTGTCCTTATATGATGTCAGTCTACCATTATATGATGTGAAGTTATGAATATATTACGTGGAATAATTCTTATATAGAGTCAACATTATATGATGTCAACGCGTCCTTATATGATGTCAATCTATCATTATACGATGTGCATTTTTCAGAATATTATATGAAACCATCCTTATATAGAGTCAACTTAACAATATATGGTGTAAATATGTACTTATATGATGTCAGTATTTCATAATATGGTGTACAATGATGAACTCGAAAAAGAGAAAACAAAAGTAATAAGTGAAAAAGTAACTAATACAAAGGGTGATTCCAAGAAGCTGTACCAGTTAGTGTCTGAGTTAACAGGAACTAAATCAGAAAACCCAATGCCACCTGGGTACAGTGATAGTGAGCTCTCCGAACACTTTGCCTCATTTTTCATGAATAAAATAGAGAAAATACGTGATGACCTGAAACCATTTGATAAATTCGAGCCAAATACTAGAAACGTTCCATCTCTTCTTGCCTTTGATGAATTTTCAAATGATAATGTTAAAGAGCTGATAAATGAACTACAGACAAAATCTTGTAAATTGGACATATTACCGACAGCAATATTAAAACTATTCCTTGGAGAACTATACTCCCAATTATAACAAAACTGGTAAACTTATCACTACAGCAAGGAATATTTCCAAATAAATGGAAAGAGGCTATCGTGAGACCACTTTTGAAGAAAATTGGACTTGAACTTGTATTCTCAAATTATTGACCTGTGAGTAATCTATCGTTTTTATCAAAACTGATTGAAAAAGCAGCTCTGAAAATACTAAATAAACATGCTGATCAGTATGACTTACTACCTACAAACCAATCCGCCTACAGAAAATACCACTCCTGTGAATCTGCTCTACTGCGATTAGTTAATGATCTGTTGGCAGCCATGGAAAAACAAGAAGTTACAGCGCTAATCGCGATTGATCTCAGTGCCGCGTTCGACACTGTGGATCATGATATACTCGTCGACGTGCTACAGAAGCAGTACGGCGTGAGCGGTTCAGTGCTCAGCTGGCTTGATTCATACCTTCGTCCTAGGGGCTGTCGCGTGTGTGTTAACTCGGCGGTCTCAGCTCCACGGCAACTAGAGTGCAGTGTCCCCCAGGGTAGTTGTTTAGGGCCTTGGCTGCGGGAACCTTGTTTGACGTGATTCCATCTGGATTATCGGTGTATGGATTCGCTGATGACCATACTGCAACCAAACGTTTTAAACCGACTGAAGAAAATAGTGAAATTTCTGCAATCGCTGAATTACAAAATGGTGCGATTGATATCAACAACTGGATGAACGCTAATAAACTCAAGATGAACTCATCGAAAACAGAATTCATAACATTTGGAAGTTCTCAACAACTCGAAAAGTGTCACCTAAAATCCATTTGTATTAACGGAGATAAGATCAACACCGAGGAGTCCATTAGATATTTAGGCGCATTTCTAGACCA